CGGGGTGGGGGGGCGTGTGTGCAAGGGGTGCGCACGGGAGGTGTGCGTGCGTGCATGCATGTGCGGGGGGGGCGTGTCCGCATGCATGGGCACCGGGGTTGTGTACGGGATGTGCGTGCGTGTGTACACACGTGGGCGTATGGAGGGTGCGCGCACGTGTTACAGGGGATGCGCGGCTGTGTCTGTATATGCAGGGGGGTGCATGCATGTGTACGTGTGTAGGGGTGTGCGCGCACGGAGGGGGTGTGCCCATGTGTGCATGCATGGGCGGGGGGGGATGTATGGGGATGTACGTGCACGGGGGGTGTATATGTGGGCACCCGCACATGTATGCGCAGGGGGCATGTGTGCACATATGTGTATGCATGTGCACGTTTGTGCATGCACACGTGTGCGTGTGTGTGTGTGTGTGCGTGCGCGCGCACACACACTCCAGAAGCATCTGAACTGCCCCTCTCCAGTGTGCAGTGATGTCCTGTCCTGGAGCATGGGCGAGCGAGGGCTGCCCTTGCATGTGCATGTGCATGCATGCACACGTGTGCACATACCCACACACATGCAGTGACTCCCCTGCCCCAGGGACTTCTGGGTGCAGCCAGTTCAGCCCCGGCCGTGGGCAGCAGAGACGCTCCTGGTGCAGGGGGGCAGCACCAGACCGGGGGGTACAAGGAATAAATCCCTGGCGTTACCACAAACACCCCAAGCCACTGGCCGCTGCATACAGGTGCCCCCGTGACCCCCTGGACAGGACCACAGGGGCATCGGGGGTGAGGGAAAAGTCCTGAGAAGGGGGCCTGGGCTTTCGGGGGAGGGAACAACATGTCCCCCCAAATCTTCCCCCAGGTCAGAGGTCACGGCCAGGGCTAGAGGCCAGGCCCCTGGCCCAGCAAAGCTGGAACCAGCCTGGAGACAGGGGCAGGCGGCTGCCCCCAGCCGAGACACCAGCCCCTGGGGCACACTCCTGGCTCTGCCACTGACCTGCCAGGTGCCTTGGTCTGGTCACCTTGCCATCCCATGCCTCAGTTTCTCCACGCGCAACACATCCCCCCCGCAAAAGGGGCTTGGAGGCAAAAAGAGCTGCAGGCCGGAGCTGGGCCTGTTCCTGCGGGAGGAGAGAGCGGGCGGCGCTGGGCTCATGTGGATTGGGGCGGAAGGTGCGAGGTGGGTCCTGCCAGTGCGAGACATTAAGAGGATTAAGGAGAGTTTCAGGGGAAGACACCAGTGCAAACACCGCAGGGCCCGTCCCTCCCCCCAGCACACGCTAATCCACACCCGCTGCCCCCCCATGCGCCCACCCCGCTGCAAACAGCCCGGGAAGGCAAATCAAGCCAGGACCAACCCCCCCCGGCCCTCCCCAAGCCCTGTGCACAGTGGGGGCTGGGGGGAGCCGGGGGCTGCAGGGCTTGGTCCTACCCCGGAGAAGACCCAAGGGCAGGAGGTGCAGGGAGGGGGAGCTGGAGCCCCCAGGGCCACGGAGGGGAGGCCCCGAGCCCCCCACCTGTCTGCTGCCAGCAGAGGTGGGAAAACCCTGTCGTGGGCCGGGGTCTCCAATGTGGAGATGGCCGCAGGAGCGGCGCAGGTGGGGCTGAGCCCGGCAAGGGCTGGACAGGAGCTCAGGGGGTCACATCGTGTCTGACCCCTGCTCCGAGCAGGACCAGCCCCAACTACATCATCCCAGCCAGGGCTTGGTCTACCCAGGTCTTCAGTACCTGCAAGGGTGGAGACCCCACCACTGCTCTGGGTAACCCATCCCAGTGCTTCACCGCCCTCCTAGGGAGAAAGTTTTCCCTAATATCTGACCTCAACGTCCCTTGCTGCAGCCAGAGCCCATTGCTCCTTGTCCTCTGCCACCACTGGGGGCAGGTGCGATTCCTCCTCAGGGAGGGAGCAGAAGAAACTGCCCTGGTCCCGTGTCCCCGGCTCTCCCGCCTGGCTGGCAGCAGTCACAGAAATCCTAGACACGGAGCTGGAAGGGACGTGCGGAGGCAGGATCAACCCCATCCAAACTCCCCCTGACAAACCCCACATCCGGCCCTGGAGCCCCACAACGGTTGCCCCAAGACAGTTCCTGCCCCCAGGATACAGGGGGGCCGCAGCCACCACCATCCGGCTGCTGCCAGGGGGGTCCTGGACGTGCAGAGAGCCCAGGCCGTGCTCCCCCCTGCAGAGGAAGGACACCCCCCCACACACACTGCTTGCATCGTGTGTGCATGTGTGTGCCCTTTTGCCCCTGCATCTCCACCGCTGAGCTGCTCACACCTGTAGCTACTCTGGGGATGGGGGACCCAGGCTGGGCAGCAGCCCCCACCCCTGACCCTCTATCTGATCCTCGCCATCCTTGCTCCTCTCCTGCGATCCGCACCCGGCTCCCGCAGCCAGGCCCAAGGCACACGCACGCACTAGACGCACGCTGCCTCGCTGCCATAAGCATGTCCTCTGGCATGCGCCCTGGCAGCCTCCCACAACCCTCCCCCTTGCACACACATGCACACCACCATCTGCCCCTCCACGTGCCATCCCAGCATCATCCACCCACAACCCCCCCCATATACAGCACCCTGCAAAACATGCTGGAAATTGGAGTGCACATTATAAATGAGAAAATATGGTAAGAGCAGATTCTGCCCCGACCAGGTGACACGGTCAGCTCTGCAGCCAGGCGCAGGGGGCAAATCTGGAGCAGCCCCGGCCCCGTGACTCCCTGCAAGGGCCGAGCTTTGCTCCCTTTGATCCGCCTGCCACAGCCAAGGGGCGAGTTGTATGCAGGGACGTAGGGGATCCACCCGGGGTTGAGAGAGGGGGCCCAAGCTGCAGCAGCACCAAGGCCACTCATCCCTGATGGATCACTTACCTGGGACCACCACCCTGCTGCTTGCCACCACGGGGCAGAGGAGCAGGGAGGCGGTTTCTAGCAGCCGGCTTGGAAGGAATCAGCGAGTCCCGGTGCCGCGGGGGGGCAGGGAGCTGCAGGGTCGCATCCAGCCCAGCCCGGCCTGAGGCAGGATCAGCCCTGTCCAAACCAGCCCAGACGAACCCCGTGTCTGACCTCGGAGGCACATGACACAGTCGTCCCTGACACAGCCCCAGGCATCGCCCCCGCCCCCCCCAATGACACATGGCGCAGAAAGGGGGGGGGCACAACTAGCACAGCCCAGGGACCTGGGACACCCCACAGCAGGGCACGGGCAGCACTGCGCCTAGAGCACCCCCCCTTGCCAAAGCGCCTCTGCATCGCCCTTGCAGCCTGGGCTTCACCGTGAGCCTCCAGGGCTTGGCCCTGACCCTGCAGCCAAGCCCCCAGGCACGGCCCAGGCACATCCCCGACACGAGCAGTTATACTAGCACGCACGCACACAAGGTCAGGGCACGTATGCACCTGTGCGCCACCAAATCCTGCCATGTCCGTGCATGCACGCCGTGCATGCATGCACACACAGCCTGTGCACGCCCTGCCCAGCTCCACCAGGGAGGCGCAGAGCTGGCAGCACCTGCTGGGGTGGCCGTGCCCGCGAAACGCCCAGCGGCATGAGCGATGGAGCCGCAAGGGGGTCCCTTGCCAGGAGGGCACTGGAGACAGGTGGGCCTGAGAGGAGAGCCCTGGCAGTACCCACCCCACCAGGCCTGGCACCCGCTCCCCTCCACCCCTTCCCCGCAGCCGAGGCAGCTG